AAAAGCAGTATGTAACTTAGTAAAGGTTTGTGCTGTACTATTATGACAACAGCCATTAAATCAGAATCAATTATCCACCATGTTTGGAACACGACAGGATTCCTCGTTGAAAATTCTGTGTAAACCTTGCTTAAAAAGAAAAAAAAATCAGAAAATGCCAGCCAGGTTAATCTTATTAACTTCCATTAATAAGATCCAAATTTGATGATCAATTAGTGAATCACAAATCCAGAAGGAACTTGGGATTTTACTTTAGATACATGAATAAACTAAGGCCTTGAGAGGTGACATAACCTGAGCATGGTCATAGAAGGTTTATATGACAAAGCTGGGAAGTTACCCTAAGCTGTACTCCACAAGCAAAGGGTCAAGAACCAGGTGTACCCTGAAGCAGAGAAACCACCACTTGTTGGAACTGTTATCACTCTTATATCTCACAAAGGTAGTAAGCTAGATCTAAAAGGAAAAGGCATGGAAGTCAGAAGGCGAAGGTGTGTTTCTTGATTTGTGAATGTGGATTTGTGAGACTAGTAAGATTGTGTCGTTTCTCTGTTCAAAGGTATTTATATTAATTCAACAGTTTAAATGATTAGGCTCTAAACCAGATTGACAGCAGATGACCTGTGAGGCAGGACAGGTATAAAACTGTAAAAAGGGACAGTGAGGACCTGGGAGGAGGAAGCAGTTTTCATGGCATCCTAGAGAAAGAGCCCAGCACATAATAATATCCAGAAGAATCCTGAAAATTAAAACAAAACACAGTTTTGTAATGTTATAGGACTTGCTGTGTCTTCTTGTCTTAAGGTCACTACATGGGTGGTGCAATTTCAAGCTTTTTAGAATGGAGAAAATGCCCATAAAGCTTGAGAAATGCTCTTCTTTTCTTTGTCTTATCTAAACAATTCAGGAAGGAAGTATGAGAAAATGTTATAAGATTGCTAAGGGGTTAATGACATATTAAAGAAGATACTATAATTTGGAAAAAATTAGGCCCAATATAGATGGAATGACAAGAATTTACTCATGGAGAATTCATGTTTTTAAAACATATAACGGTACTTTAAAACAAATCAGTATTGATCTTAGGAGGTGAGAGCTTTGTGGCCTTCTGAGGGCATAGATACTGTGGGTTGTTTTTTCTTTTTTTAGTAATAGATTTTTATATTATTGATATGGTGACAGTTTATCTTAATTTATTTTTGAGTCTGGGCTATTTTTTTAAATCCTAATACAAGCATCTCCTAACAAACCGCTAACATGTAGGATTCTGAAATTCAGCTTCAATAACTTACAATAAATAAGTGTTAAACTATTCACAATCATATGTACAGGCAAGGTAGAGTTTATTGAATGAACTATGCTGATACCAGTCTTTCTCTGCAATAATAACTAAAACTAAGTTTTCAATAATAAAGTGACAGGGAAACCTTGGTCATCTTTTAAAGTTGAGAAAAACTGGGTATTTTAATGAAATCTTTTGTGGAAAGGGAAATTCTTTTTAGTACTGATAGGTAGTGAAGGTACATGAAGGTACAAACTAAAATTAGCTGGAGTTAGGCTCTTCTTTGGGCCAGCAGTCAAATTTGTTTGTCTTTGTATTTGTATCCTACTCAACTCTGATTTTCTCACAAAGAAATTGAACCACTTCATCAGGATGAACCGAAGAGAGAACACAGAAAATAAGATGTACTGCTTACCTAGAGTACAGACATACAGACCTACCTAGATTATTCTATCAGTGATAAAAATGAGTATGTCAATAGTATGGCTTATTAAGGATCTCTAATGACTTCAACTTCTGGGAAGTATCTTCTAAAGCAGTAGCATTGTCACTGTACCTCCAGTTCCAATTCTGACAGTCATGCCATATTTAAGAAGTGGGGAAAAGTATATTTAATGTGGTTTAATAATTATATAATAATTATAATTTATAATTTATTTATAATATATTTAATAATAAATCTAATAATTATAATATACTTAATAATTATAATTCAAATGATAACAATCAGTACAATTATATAATTTCTTGCAGAAGATCTCTATTTGGTCTACTCTTGGTTTGGCTCTATAAACATTTTAAATCAATCTTGAAGAAACAGGAGGACAAGTATACATTTCCAAGTAGTATAAAACTGGAATGGAGAACTAATAGGCAGGGTTTCACAGTATACGGAAAAATACTGGTTGAATGCCTATATGGGGCATGGGATTAAAGTGAATATAAAAAATTAACCAAGATAATATTATTTTTTCTTGGTTCTTTCTTGATTATAGAAATATAATATTTCAAGTATTTGTCAAAAAAGGTATGAAGTGATAAATTCCATAATGAATTCAGAAGAAAAGGCTGGACAGGTTAATGAAAAAAAAAGGTATTACGTATAGCTTTAGGAGTGGGTGGGTTTAAAATCTGGAGTGATTTACTAAGAGTTCTCATTGAAACATGTTAAGATGAGTAAAATCAGGACTTGTAGTAATCAAGAGGAGGAGAATCTAGATTCAGACGTGGCAAAGCATGAAACTTAGATGAGGAGGGATTTGTGGTTTTATCTGATTGAAGAATGGAATTCAGGACAAGGATCAGTAGAGAAAATAAAAGTTGGGTAATAAGATTCTGGGATACAGGTTGGCAAAATAAACTAAAAACAATAAAATTAAATTTAACTTGGATGAACTTCCAGTTTTAGGATGGCAGTGTAAAGATATTGCTCCCCACTTTCTTCTTAAAAATCACCCCAAACCATTAGAAATAGGACACAACCTCCAACTTTAATGACTAAGCACCATATACGAACCACAATGCTTGAAAATTAAAAGCAGATAGACCAATGATTGATGAGCTAGCTCAGCACAGAAGGCTGTGTCCATGTGTCTTAAGAGGGAGCTACCACAAAAAAACAGCACATCCAGAACCCTGGAAATGCTTAGCACATTGGAATTACCTGTACTAAAGGTTTAATGAAACCAAGGAAATAAAAACAGGAAATTCTGACTACAAAAAGAAAATGTCTGAGGGAAGTAAGGTTGAACTTGGGGACAAAAGAAAATGACAGATTGTAGAGTTGAGTGTCAAATGTGGCTATTAGTTTTTGTGCTTGTGCCAAGAATTGAACTTAGTACCTTGAGCTCTCAGCTTTTTCTGGTAGAGGGCCCATTTGGCCCTCTACCACTTGAACCTGGCCTCTATCCTGGATTTTTGCTGGTTAACTAAAGATGGGAGTCTTATGAACTTTTCTGCATTTGCCAGCTTTGAACTGTAATCCTTGGAGTTCAGTCTCCTGAATAGCTAGGATTACAAGAGTGAGGCAATGGAGTTGGGCTAAGCGTTTTTTTTAAAGATACAGTCACATGAAAGACTTCATGGCATTCTTACAGATATAATCAAATAAATTTTCTTATTTCCCATTTTTTAGTGTTCAGGGCAGATGAAAATAAAAAGCTTATAAGCCATTGTGAGGTCTTGTTTGAAAGAGTCACATAGTTAACAGTCTGTCTTTCAATCTTAGAATTTCCTGAGTTCTATTTTTTTTTTTGGGGGGGGGGGGGAAGGTCTGGTCGTGGGGCCTGACCTCTGGGCCTAGGTGCTGTCCCTCAGCTCTTCAGCTCAAGGCTAGCAGGCTACCTACCACTTGAGCAATAGCACCACTTCCGGCTTTTTTTTTTTCTGCTTATGTGGTGCTGAGGAATCAAACCCAGGGCCTCAGGCATGCAAGGCAAAGCGCTCTACCACTGAGCAACCTTCTCAGCCCATGAGTTCTATTTTTTTTTTAATGTATTCACTATGCAAATTTAACCTGAATTTTTTGGGGGGGAGGGGCTGGTGTCCTGGGGCTTGAACTCAGGGCATAGGTTCTGTCCCTGAGCCTCTCTGTGTTCTCTAGGCTAGTGCTCTACCACTTGAGCCACATCACCACTTCTGGCTTTTTCTGAGTAGTTGATTGGAGATAAGAGTATCATGAACTTTCCTGCCTGGGCTGGCTTTGAACAGTGATCCTCAGATCTCAGCCTCCTGAGCAGCTTGTATTACAGGTGTGAGCCACTGGTGCCTGGCTATATCTTTATTTTTATTTGTGCATTTTGTATGTTTTCATTACAGAGTCTATGTTTTTGAAACCTATATCCCAGGTGTTGACTGCAAAGAAGAATTTGGAAAGCAATTTGTATACTGCGGAGTATTTCAAGTTTGCTTCACCTCTCCCCTCAGTTTTCAACATTGATTGCAGCTTCTAAATTGGCCACGTGACTCCTTCTTATTGTCAGGGAGAAAAATAGTGTTTAAACTATTTTTACAACAATACCATGGACAGCAAAACAAATCTGCTCTTTTGTTTTTAGTACTTCTGCTGCCTAATAATGAAGTATTTACAAAAGCATCAATATTTTGATTAACATGAGAATGATCTTTAGCTAGCTCTTTCAACAGCAAGAAGGGCTGTAGGGCTTTCTACAGCAGAAAAGAAATTAACTTCTACTACTACTGACTTCTGTGTATTTTTTAGTATGAGACCCATGTTATAGCGTCTTTGGAAAAACTGAATTCCGAAATCATATGATATTAAAAGCATTACCTTATATGATCAAGAGTTTTCATTTTCTATTAATAATAACCAAATTATTGATAAATGAGCATCAGACTAAATTATATTTTAAACATTATTTGTCCTGATATACTGGAATTAAGCTAGTCATATGATTTACCAAATTTAAATCATCCACTTTCCTTTCTTTCTGATACACTCAAGATTTTCAGTAATAACATGGCATAACGCAAAAAAGAAAAGTATGCAAATCTATAAAACTGTCATTTAGAAGTCTAATCAATTTTAACAAGACAGACGACCTTTTATCAAGGTGTTCACTAAAAGAGGAAAGAAGTAAAAGACTAGAAAGCTTTGTCACTCAGTTTAGCAGTTTTCTCAGATTGGAAAAAATAACAATGAAACCTCCAGGGTTAAGATGAGGCTGCTAGACAGAGAAGACAGACCAAATTGGCTTACCACTTGAACCATTTTGAGATATCTGGCATATCTTGGATCCTTGGCTACAGTTAAGATATTTTCTGATGATACTTCACTTTGCTGTGGTCCAGAGTCTTGTGTATTGTTCTGCTGTAGAGAGTATTTCATGTAAATCTTTAGATAATTCACAAAAAGGGTCCATCATGTTACTTAAAAGGGATGTTGCTTTTTTATAGTTAGAAGGCAATAAATATCAGAAAAAGCCATATCACTAAATTTAAATAACAAGAAGTTAATGATGGGATACTGCTTTCTAATATCTGCAAAGACTTAAAATATGACTTCAGTGGAAGCTATACTATAGCAACAATGTATTGTTTCTTAAAATGAATTTGTAGCACTACAATTTTTAATATTGCTTTATTTGTCCTAGGGTGCTGATACTAAACATGAATTATAGGTAGATATAGTATGTCAATAAAACTTTTAATAAAGCTAGTAAAATGTTATGTCAACTGCTGGGCTTTCATGGGAATGAATTGATTCTTAAGTATATTCCATTTCTCCTACTGATCTCATTTAATCTCTTTTTTCTAAGTGTGTAGCAATTTGTGTAGGGGAGCGGAACTCAGCTTCTCAGACAAAACCATTTGGTTTCCTACATTTTAGGTACTGATTAAGCTATTGGTTATAGTAACACTGTCCACAAAATAATGAGATTAAATACTAAATGCTACTTTAAATAACAAGTAGTGAGGAATGCCTTTGTGATATGTATATCCTCACTTAGAATGACCCTATGTTAGCTGAAGCACAGTAGAATCCTGTCCTCACTTTGAGGCAAAACTATCTGTACAGAGTACTTAATTTTTCTATTCAAGTAGAATAAGTTTACTTTTGGGAATTTCACGCTGTATCTCCATTGAAGTGTTAAAAGAAATTTATTTAACAAATAAAAACAGCTTTCTGTCCATGTCTATGCTAAAAGCATAGATAAATTAATATTTTTAAATCTTCATAGGATTTAGAATATGAATGTGTTATATTATTTACATAAAGGTTTTTTCCTCAGATAATTCATAGATGAACTAAATCTTTAAAAAAAACTTAGAAGCAATAACATAAAAGTCCTTTAGAAGTTTCCTTTTATACTACTTTTCAATGTTAAAAAATGAGAGAATATGGGATGTATTATTTTGTATAATACATGTATTATTTTGTAACATTTTACTATGAAAGTCTAAAACACTGCAATTAAGTTAAAAAAATGAAAACAAAATCCAAGTGTATTTTTTAAAACTGTATGGATGACAAACTCATACAAAAGCACTAAGGGCCAAATGAGAACTATATCCCCATCTAACAGTTATAATCTCACAGCTATTAATTGTTGCCTAATAACCAAGGCCTCAGAAGCCTTAATTATGTAACGTCTTAAACCTTTGCTACTTGAATAACCTATTAAATTCTCTATCTTATCTCTCAACTGTCCCTCATTTCATTCTAATTTATCTCAATCTATGTAATTGGATATTCTATTGTGAATGATAAGACCTAAGACATGAAACTAAAGTAAAAGAAAAATCAATATAGAATGGATTTTTGACTCATGTACACCATAAGTGGATGATAATGGATTTTTGAAAATGCATAATTATCCTTTATGTGATCATTGTGTTGACTGTAATATCAATGAAAATTATGTGTAAAGCATATTTAAACACATTTCAAAATATTTTACATAATATGTGTCAATTAATAACAATGAAGAATTGAGAAGTTGATTTAAATATTAACATGCTAAAATCATTTTATTAGGCTGACACAAAGCTACCATAATGTTTTAAATGTAGGGACCAACAGAACTTCAAAAATACTTTAAGTTAATTAATGTACAACTTAAAAACTGTCAGACATTTAGTAGGTGATTCTGAATTTGTCAAACAAGAAGTTCAGATATGATTACTGGCAATCAAGTGTTGGGACCTTAAATAGGCCAGGACCTATACAGCTGCATAAAAGTCCTAAAATACATATGATACATTGCATTCATAATACCAACTGGAAAAACCAATATTCAAAGTTAGGTTCATTGAAAAATGTATATTAACATATAACAACTGCATCTCCCAAAGACTAACCTCTGATCAGACTTAAAACATTTTCTTAATATTCTTTACAGATGCCTATTGTAGAAATCAGGCAGTCCAAGTTTTAGAGAGCCTTGTAAAATTAAATTCTTTCACAACATCTGAAACCCCTCTTCCATATTCAATTTATATTGCAATGCGCATCATAATGGAATTTACTGATTTCTAATATTTGTTAAGTGATCATCAAATTGATTCCCCAACACATACCATATCCAAATATATGGTTTCTCTCATGGCCTTGCACGAATATGCCCAATGGATTGAATACAGGCATAGGAGATAGTGCAGTGAGGTGGCACCAGACCTTGTTAGTTAAAATTCTAGTGCTTACATTATTATTTGACCTTCCCAGTAAGTTACTTAAACCTCTGTGTAATGTAGGATTGATAATATTGTAGTTTTCCTTCTGTCTCTGGGAGGGTGTTGGCTCCAGTACTCCATAGGATATTGAAATCTGCAAATGTTCAAGTGCCTTCTAAAAACTAGTGTAGTGTTTGAATTTAGCATACACACACCCTCCGGTGTACTTTCAATCATCTCTAAATTACTTATAATCCCTAATACAGTGGAACTGCTGTGTGAATAGTACTGTTTAGGGAATGACAAGAAAAGATACTGTATATTCTGTACAGAAGCAATTGTTTTTCTAAATACTTTCAATTTGCAATTGGTTGTATCTCACAGATACAGAGCCCATCAGTAAGGAGGGTTGACGATATTTAAATCAGAGCTGTTATGAGGATGAGTTAATTTAAGAAAAGCACTTAGAGGTGTGTATACCCTAGCACATAGTAAGCATACTTTATTGCTAACATCATTATCAACATCATTATTACCTAAAAAACATGCTGTGAAAAGTACTTCTTGGTAGAAATGAAGAATTCAATTATACAGGAGATCTATTTGACTAATATTGCTTTGGTAGGCCAACATAGAAGTAATCAATTTTATTTCAAATCTTATTACTTCATTGAAATATCTGGTCTCAAACATGAAGGAATTTATCAAAAATAAGAAGCAGTAAAAATTAAATTTATACAGAAACATGAAAGAATATCAAGACATAGAGCCAAATATAAAGGACCAAATAGTAGGATGAAGATTTAGTGAATCAACTGAAAAATACTTTTTGGACAAATGCTCTGCTAAGATCAGTAATGCTTACATAGTGAACTTACACTCACTATGGATTTTGTTAAAAAGATTGTGTTTCAGCAGTTACAGAGTAGGGCCTGAGATTCTTCATTTCTACCAAACAAAGTGAGGTCCAGACAGCTAGTCCATGAGACACACTCTGAGTAACAAGAGATTAAATGAAACCAGAGGATTACTGTTCATTATATTGTACATGATAAAACAATATAAACCCATTTATGTAAGAAAAACATTATGTAAGAAAATATAAAAACTTCTCAGAGATGCTCAAGGAATTATGCAAGAGCAAAAGGATATAATGCTTGGGATTCATTTGGGCAAGCAACAAAAAAAGTACTCTATCTCCCTTCCTGACAGACTTTATTGGATAGGGTTGCATTTTTATTCATAATGCTATAATTTCTGTCAAGTAGCATTTTGTTTTAATTGCGGGGGAGGGGGGGAGTGGAGCTCAAATTCTTGCTGGGTAGGCACTCTACCCTTTCAGCTATGCACCTTGCTCTTTTTCCTTAGTTATTTTCATATGTAATGTTGTACTTTTGTTCAGGGCTGGGCAGGACCATGATTCTCCTGCCTACAATGCCCGTGTAGCTAGGATGGTGTGAGCCACCATACACAGTTCATTTGTTGAGATGCTGACTTGTTCAGGCTGGCCTTAAACCACCATTTTCCAGATCTCATCCTGAGTAGCTGGGATTACTTGTCTGAGTCACTATCTCTGGTTCAAGTGGCTATTTTAATTCAGCACTACCTTCTCTTGTTATCTTTACTAAGAGTGATCAATTCTCAGCTTTTACTACTTCTAGAATATTCCCTTTGATGATTTTTCATTAGATCTGCTCGTCTTTGCAAATATAATCATCTCTTCACTAAAATTTCTTTGTTCTACTTTTACACTTCTTTTTTTTAAAATTCTGGAATCCTAAATTAAACAATGTTTTAAGAATAATCACATAAATACAGTCTATCTTTTTAATGCTTAAATTCTGCCTTTAAGTTTCTTTTTAGATAAGTTATTTGTATAAAGATTACTTAGGAATAAAAAAGATTTAGCAATTATGACAAAATCTTAATTTGTGAATCTAGGTAATGTGTATTGGAGTATTTATTCTATTACTCAATTTCTGTTTATGTTCACAAAATTTATAATAAGACATGTTAAAAAGTATATATCTTATAAGAAATTAGAACAAAATTTCATAATGTGCCAGGTGTCAGTGGCTCACACCTATATTCTTATCTATTCAGGAGGCTGAGATGTGAGAACTGAAGTTCAAAGCCAGCTTGGGCAGAAAAGTCTGCATGACTCTATCTCCAAATAAGCAGCAAAAAAGCTAAACTGGAGCTGCGTCTCTAGTGATAGAGACTATGTGTGGACAATAGTGAGAGTGTAAGGCCCTGAGGTTAAGCCCTGCTACCAGCAGAAAAATTTCATAGTGAACTCGAATATTAAAAGTTTTTCTTAGTCATGTTTAGACTGCTTTTTACACCCAAATAAACTATAATCAGTTTGAAAGCCCTTCAAAATAATTGAAACAATTTTTTCTCAAACTTCCTTTCATATCTTAAGATTGTATCATTTTACCATTTTTGTTTAGCTTCTTCCATCCAAGACCAAAGTATACATCTATTAGGTTCAACAGAGAATATCTACCTGTTCATGCTTCTTGGAACTGAACTACTTACCTGTGATTGCTCTGAGGCAGTTCCACAATGTAATTCATTTGTGACATTAGGGACGCTTACAGGAGATACTTCAAATGTGACGTCATCTAAGCCTGGGATAGAGGACAACTGAGAAATGAAAATTGGTATTACGATATGAAAATAATTCTAGGTGCACAAATATTTTTTGTATATATATTTTATTGTAAAGATACTGTACAGAGGGGTTAGTTACATGAGCAAGGGAATGAGTACAGTTCCTATGGAGCATTGTTACCTCTTCCTTTGTTTTTCCCCTACCATCCATTCCCTCCCCACCTCCCGGACTCCTCCCTCCCCCCATAGGTGCACAAATATTTTTTAAAATGTGCTTTTAACATTTGTGTTGTTTTAAGCCTAAACAAACTTCATAGTGAACTGAATCTGATCTTTAATTTCCATTTTATTTTTTATTTATTTATTTATTTTTTTTTTAATTTCCATTTTAAAAGTGAATGACATTCACAAAAAATACTTTGAACAGTTTCTTGGAAACTTAACTTGACCATTCTTTTTTCTTTAATTAGTATTTTTTCAATATAGACAATTCAGTGTAAGGACTGAGTTTGGGCTTTGGAGCAGACTACTTGAGCTCAAGGAGGAGCCAGCACTACTACACTACAACTCCCAAGCTGTGTTACCATTTTTCTCATCTGTAGTGGGAATAAGAAAATTGACCTTTCCAAGTTGTTCTGTAATATTTTTTATTAAAAAGGCTAGCAAACAAGCACTCTGTAGCGTGTTTTATATTTGGGATATGACAAAATTCTTCTATGTAGTTTAATACACAACACAGATCATTTTTCTGCAAACATTACCACTCAATATAACTAAAATATATTGTTTGTCATACACAATAAATGGGCATACTGTCAGCATTTCAACCTGGAATAGTTAAGAATTTTAGATTAGATATGCAAGATCTAGGCAAATCAATGATATATAACTTTCAGAATGTAGGCTGTCTGGGAATTAACTCTGTGGCCATGAAAGTAAGAAAGGTTAGCTGTCTTAACTTGTGCCCTTGAAATCTAACTCCATGATCACTCCCCAAACTTTAAAATAAGACATATAGTCACAATAATGAAAAAAACAATGGCAGGATTTAAACAGCAATGCTCATTGAGAACTTTTGACTAATGACAGCAAGTAGCATAGTAGCTAGCACCCAAATAGTGGCAAATGTGTATTGAACATGTTCCATGTGAGTTATTTTAAATTTCTAAAGTCCATAGAAGACGTAGCAAGTAGAAATATTATAAAAGTATTAATATCATTTTTCCTTTTCATAAATATTCAATCAATAGTTACTATTTGAGGAGAACAAAGGACAAAGGCACCAAAATATGATTCTCTTACTTTATGAAGAAAAAATTGCATATGCAGTGAAAAAAATTAAATCAAGTTAAAATCAAATATGTCACTGATATTAATCAAAATCTTTTGGCTTTCAAATTACAAAGAAAAAAAAAAAACCTTCTATTTTTCTCAGTTAATTCTTGGCAATGTGTAACATATTGGTACTCTTCCTTAGCATTTTATATATTTACAAATGGAAAAACCTCTGATAATATGTAAATTTTGCTCTAGAGATATTTGAAGTTTTATGTAATTATTAGCGTCATTACATGATAGCCATCATTTTGAATTTTCTGTCAAATGAATTAAACTATAATCCAGCTCAGTTTATTAACATGCTGTTCATATAATGCTTTTGACTAGTACAATGAAAGAAATCTTAATTCACATATATATTTGAGAAGACTCAGCGAATGGTTTAAGATGGATACTATTTCCTTGCAAAATAACAAAGATTTTTAAAAGTATATTATCCTACTTCATAGATGCAAGAGTTAAATTGAATTCCTTCCCAAATGTAATTAAAATTAAATATGAATAAAAAAGACCGTGTGAGCACAGAAAAATTTTTCTATATATTCAGAAATACAAACCTTTGCATCTAAAATATTGAGTGTTGTTTCAATTTGTTGGATCCGAAGAGAAAGGTCTGAAAGTTTCTAGAAAAGAAAAATTAGAGACATAGCCTAAACTGTTAAAACTGTTAAAAAGAACATGGAACAGATTCGCAAATAATGAAAACAATGGCTTAAGTATTTGTCACTTTCCAATATGTTCCTGTCTTATTTATATAGGTAGAAATGGGAATTCAGGCTTTCTATTATTCTTATAATTATATAAGGTAATATTCACTATCAAAAAGTTACACTTCAACTTTAAGAAATTAATTACTAGACTAAGAAACAATCCAAAAATAAACTCAACTCAGGCCAAAGTCTTTTGTTTACTGCTGTACTCTGAGCCAGGGGCCAGTAGTTCATGCCTATAATCCTAGCTCAAGAGGCTGAGATCTGAGGATCGCGGTTCAAAGCCAGCCTGGGCAGGAAAGTCTGTGAGACTCTTATCTCCAATAAACACTAGAAAACCAGAAGTGGCACTGTGGCTCAAGTGGTAGAGTGCTTGCCTTGAGCTGAAGAGTACAGGGACAGCACCCAAGCCCAGAGTTCAAGCCCCACGACTAACAAAAAAAACAAAACACATAACAAAATAAAATAAAAACCAGTACCTGAAACTTAACAGGAGCTTAATAGTTACTTGCTGATGAATTCGTTATGGAAAACAAGAGTGAAGATTACTCAAAGAGAACCAAGAATAACGTCTCTCCCTCCACCTCCATTTTTTGTAGGCACTAGGGTTTGAATTCAGGGCCTTTTGTTTGCTATGCAGGTGCTCTAACACATTGCATTTCTACAAGCTAGAAATAAAACATAGAATCTTAGGGTATTTTGTTTGTTTGACTGGTTTGCTTTGGTGTTGCTTTTTAAGACAAGACCTTGCCATGTAGCCAAGGCAATCTTTCTCAGCCTTCTGAATGCAGGATTTTACATGGATAATACTATGCCTGTATCTGGTTTTAATAGTTTGTAGGATTTATTCACATAGGCTTTTGTGTAAACATAAACACATGTTATAAAATGTGTCATGGATGAATCCCTCTTAATAATTTAGGGGTTAGAGCTAGGTGTTGGTGGCTCACATCTGTAATCCTAGCTATTCAGGAGGAGGCTGAGATCTGAGGATCAAAGCCAGACAGGGGAGGAAAGTCTGTGAGACTCATCTCTAGTATACCACTAGAAAACTGGAAGTGGCACTGTGGCTCAAGTAAGAGAGCTCTAGCCTTGAGCTGAAGAGCTGAGGGACTGTGCCCAGGCTCAGAGTTCAAGCCCCACAACTGACAAAACAAAAAACAAAACAAAGTAGGGGTTAGCTGTGTGTTAGTGGCTCCCACCTGTAATCCTCACTACTCAAGAGGCAGAGATCTGAGAATGGAGATTCAAAGCCAGCTTGGGCAGGAAAGTCTGTGAAACTCTTATCTCCAACTAAAAACCAAAAAAGCTGGAAGTGGAGCTGTGGCTCAGGTGGTAGAATACTAGCCATGAGCACAAAAGCTTAAGAACAACACACAAATAACACACACACACACACACACACACACACACACACACATAATTTAGGGAGTATTTGTAAAAATCAATTTTGGCAAATTTAATCAATCTTTTAATTCAGAGGGAAAAAATTGTAACATTTTAATTTGTAGAACGAATGACAATTTCCAGCTTTCAAAACATGAACGTACTAGCATGAGTAAAGTGAATATACAAAAGGAAAAAACAAAATCAAAACTTAAGTTTTATGTACTACATAAATATGTACTCAAGAAAAATTACATGCCAGGCACAGGTAGCTCACATATATAATTCTAGCTACTTAGGAAGTTGAGATCTGAGGATCACAGTTCAAAACCAGCTCAGGGAGGAAAGTCCATGAGACTCTTATCTCCAATGAACCAACAAAAAAGCCTGAAGTGGAGCTGTGGTTCAAGTGGTAGAGTTCTAGCCTTGATCACAAAAGCTCAGGAACAACACCCAGGCCCTGACTTCAACCCCGGGATTGGTGTGTGCATCATTGTAAACATTTAAATATTTATATATAGTATGCTACATAGGAAATACATCACTAAAATTCATACTAAAATTTTGAAATAGAAATTACTATGCTCATAATAAAGAAAAACAAGAGTCTTAGCCAAGTAAGTAACTTGACATTGACTACAGTCAGTATTTTATTAGAAACGACTTTCTTTTTTCTGCCGGTTCTGGGGCTTTAACTTAAGGTCTGGGAGCTATCCCTGAGCTGTTTTGCTCATCTAGTTCTCTATTGCTTGTGCCACAGCTCTACTTCCAGCCTTTTGGTGGTTACTTGGAAATAAGAGTCTCATGGAATGAGCAATTCCTAAGCTGGCTTCAAACTATGATTCTTAGATCTTAGCCTCCTGAGATGCTAGATTTACAGGCGTGAGCCACCAGTGCCTGGCTTTATCAGAAAACTACTTTTAAGAACATTTTATACTGCTAAAACTGTAATCCTGAGGTTTACACAGACAGAATTTGTTTTCTAGTTAATAAATGACTACTGTGTCCTAAGATGCTACTGTCTATGATATATCCACTGAAAATGGCTTTCTTCTGGTTGTGGTAAATTTTCTTAGATGCAGTTATCTGAAGTTACTTTTTAAAGTTGTATTAAAAACTGTTAGGATTAGATCATACAAATACCTTGCCTCTAAATGGGTCTCACCCAGGTGAGGCTGAGGTTTGATATCTTAGTAAATAGGGAATTGAGCATAAAAACATTTATTTGGAAAACCACTAGGTTATAAAAAAGACTGAAGATACCTGGGGGGAGAGGAGGAATGGGTTTTCAGAGCAATGTGGCTATCTTTTGCTTTTATAACTCTTTTGTAAAATCTTTTGTAACTCTAATCACCAAAGTAAATTGGTCTGTAAGATTTCATGAGTGATTCATCCATACAAGACAATGATCAAAACATTCATACATGTCAATTAATCATTTATCTGAACATTATTAGTAGTTTGAGTATAATTTTTTAATATATATTTTTTATTGTAAAGATACTGTACAGAGGGGTTACAGTTAGATGAGTAAAGTAATGAGTTCATTTCCTATCGAGCATTGTTACCCCTTCCTTTGTTTTTCCCCTACCATCCCTTCCTCCCCACCTCCTCTTGACTGTAATTTTTTGTAACTTAAAATAAGTATAGAAGCCTGGCACTGGTGGGGCACCTATAATCATAGTTACTTTGAGGAAGAGATTGGTAAGATTTCAGTTTGAGCCAAGTTGGAAAATAATTTTTTAACCTACCCAGCATCATTTGGTAGATTTTTTTTTTCAGTTGTGGGGCTTGAACTCTGGGCCTGGGCACTGTCCTTCAGCTCTTCAGCTCAAGCCTAATGCTCTACCACTTGAGCTATAGTGCCATTTCCAGTTTTCTGATATTTTATTGGAGATAAGAGTCTCAGGAACTTTTCTTCCCAGGCTGGCTTTGAACCATGATCCTCAGATCTTAGCCTCCTGAGTAGCTAAGATTACATGTGTGAGCCCCCAGCACCCGGCTGGTGGATTTTTTCCCCCCCAGAAAACATTGCATATTTTCTGAGAACATATTTAACATCTAAGAATCTCAAAAACCAGGTGTGGGAAAAGTTACACTTTATAGACAGTAACAACATAACGTTTTTGAGTATATAAGTATCCAGTTTACATGTCTACTTCTCTAAAAGAGAAACAGTACCTTAATAGATCTCTTAATATATCCCAACGTATTCTATCTATCTATCTATCTGTCTATCTGTCTGTCTGTCTGTCTGTCTGTCTGACTGTCCGTCCATCTGTCCGTCTGTCTGTCTGTCTGACGGCTAGAAAGAGAAAGGGTTTTCTTAAGCTCATATGACAGGCACCTAGATGTTGTAAAGGAGGTAGCAAAATTTAGTTTGTACACAAAACATCATTTGTGTGAAAGTGAAGCCCAAAGGTGGGCTTAGAAATAGAACAGGGAAGATAACTACTCCAAATGTTCTTCAATACTATGAGAATTCTCTGCCTGTACTTAAAGCTTTTAGAAAAAGACAAAAGCTGGTGGCTGGTGGCTCATGCCTATAATCCTCGCTACTCAAGAGGCTGAGATCTGAGGATCACGGTTCAAAGCCAGTCTGGGCAGGAAAGTCTGTGAGACTCTTATCTCCAATTAACTACCAGATAACTGGAAGTGGCACTGTGGCTCAAGTGGTAGAGTTCTTACCTTGAGCTGAAGAGCTCAGGGACAGCACCCAGGCCCAGAGTTCAAACCCATGACTGAACTATACACACAAAAGACAAAAAAAAATAAGGCTACAAAAAAAATGATTTAAAATCTTGTATTCTAAGTGTGTTATAAATCCATGAGGGAAAAAATCTCTTGTTTTACAGATATCTTTGGCAGGAAAACTCCCTGTAAGATTAAGTGCCTGCTCAGGTTTTCCTGCAATCACATAGACTTTGTGTTGCCCCCTTTGCCCTTTTAAATTGGATCACCAATAGATTTTGCTGACTAGGATAATAATAGAAATGTTTACTGGGGAATTGTCCAGAAAGATATGACCCTAAGTAACTTGTAAGTTGGGTCTGATTCAACTCTTCTCCTTTTTCTGTCCTCCAATCTCACCAGGCATAAAAGAATTACAAAGTAGCCTACTACGCAGAAAGTTTTTAAAAAGTTGAGCTTTTTCACAGTTGTTCATTTTTCTTACTAACTCTAAAAGGCAGTATCACTTATGACGAAAGGTTCATACTTAATTGTGTTTTGAGATTAGTTGTGACTGAAAGTGTTAACAATTTGGGCTTCATTCAAGTCCTGTCATGTCTGGAGAGAAGGATGGGAGCTTCATTTTCTTTAGTTTTTTTTTTCCTGTTCAAAAAAACAACAGCTGGGGTTCACTTCTTTTATTTTTCTGAAGGAAACAGTCATTCTTGTTTAAGGCTTTAAGTAAACAAGGACTACAGGCTTAGTAAATGCTACTAACAAATTAAGAATTATTTCAAAAAGTCACACTATTGTTTTTTCTTTTTCTTTTCTGTTTTTTTTTTGTTTGTTTGTTTGTTTTTGTCAGTCATGGGGCTTTAACTCTGAGCTTTTCAGCTCAAGGCGAGCACTCTACCACTAGAGCCACAGCACCACTTCTGGTTTTCTGGTGGTTAGAGAAAAGAGTCTCAAGGTGTTTCTGTCTGGGCTGGCTTTGAACCTTGATCCTCAGATCTCAGCCTCCTGAGTAGCGAGGATTACAGGCATGAGCCACTTGGGGAAACTTTGATTTGGATAAAAATATTCTTGCACTCTATCACATCCAAAAGGACCTTACATTAAACACAATATAGTAAACAACATGAATTCAAAACACAAATACTATATTCTCTCACTTGAAAGCAAACAAGCTTCTTATTCAAATGCAAAAGGTGCAGCACAGAGAGAGGTGAGCTGGATATTTAACTTTTCCAGTTCAACCAGACTTAGAATCCCAATTATATGAGTACCAGTACCACTACTGTATCAGGAAGAAACTCTAGCTGCTCAAACATGTTGACTACGTTGAATGAATAAATGAATGAATGAATGATTTTAACACTTTACATCTTAGTGTGTGTATCTGCAAAGGAGGGATGACGATCTCTCTCAAAGGACTATGCTGTGATGATTCCATATGTGTAAAACATTAGCTTTACCTGTACAAAACTGAGTAAACAGTAATAAATATTAGTTACTGTCATCTCACTCAGTAGGAGTCATTAAAACTGACCAATATAAGCTACAGGTAATGATTTGCAGTTACCTCTGGATTACCATACTTAAAGGAGAAAAGGGCTATGCTAACAGTTGCATAGCACTTTCCAGGTCAACCATTCACATATGAAAATACTTTCACAAGAGGTAAGGAAACCAGCTGAGAGATCATAGCAAGTGGGTGGAACACAGATTTGAGAAAAGGTGCATTGAAGCAGGAAGGGCAGCTTCATATATCTGTCTTCACCCTCCTCCAATCCCAGGCTGCACAGCATGGATTAAAAATGCCTTTTTAATTCAAAAAAGAGGGAGACATGAGCACTAGACTTTGCCTTGGGCCACAAAGCTAAGTCCACTGGAATAAAACCCAGCACTGTGCAAGCCTATGGCCCCAGACAACACACCTGTACTCAAAGATGACACCTCCTGGTCAACTCCATTGCTTCATCAGATCCACAGCCTCAAACTCCAGATCTGCCTCACTTTGGGCCTTACTCTGGTGGCTCTGGGTCAACCTAAGGCTCAAGACAGTCTAAAGAGCAGGCCAGTCCCTCAGGATCTCCAAGCCCAGATTAGAATCAGGCTGGCCCTAAGAAGTCTTAAGAGCAAGCCTGTCACCAGAATATAAGGCTGACTGCCATGATTTTCCCATGATCAGTCTATAGTCCTAGGCCAGCTTCCACGTACAACTGGATACAAATAATAAGGCTGTCCTAGATTTTAGAGCAGTCCAAAGCCAGGTCCAAACTTGGAGCCTACCTTCACACCAGGTCTGTAGCCTTTAAACACCAGGTTGATACTCATAAATATGAGTTCCGGGCTGGGAAGGTGGCTCAGTGGTAGAGCGCTTGTCTTGCATGCTCGAGGCCCTGGGTTCGATTCCTCAGCACCACATAAGCAAAAAAAGAAAAAAGCTGGAAGTGGCGCTGTGGCTCAAGTGGTAGAGCACTAGCCTTGAGCTGAAGAGCTGAGGGACAGCGCCCAGGCCCAGAGTTCAGGCCCCACAACCAGACCCAAAAATAAATAAATAAATAAATATGAGTTCCATGTCTTCTCTGTTCTGGACTGACCTTTACAGATTCACTCTCTAGACCTCTACTGTGACTCCAGGCTCCAATAATAAAAGTTGACACTCAAGGCATGTTTCCAGGCTACCCCTCCCCATCTTTTGGAATAAACAACTGTAAAAGTAATTTGAATATAAATCGAAACAATGTATACTTAAAAATGTCAATCTTTGGGGTAGGAAAATAAAATTTCAAAATTACAAAAAAGAAGAGCTTCCAACAGTGAAATTTTAGGTTTCCTTTTAATTCTTTAGTTATAATAAAAATGCCCAAACTATCTCAAAGAAGCCTCTAGATTAGTAATCTAGTAGAGGTGACCTTCGGATCTGATGGGGCACTAAGGAGGGTTAACACAAATAAGATGTCATGATACATGAATACATAAAGACCATAACACTTGCTCAACTCATTTGTCAGTTCAACGGGAAGTGATTTCTTGGCTAAAGACCAGGATCAGAGGACCTACCTCCTCACAAACTGTAGAAAAGCGGTTGAGGAACTGTACAGTGTGCACCACGAATTGGTTTAGAAATGCCACCGTTCTTTTCTGTTGAATAGCTGGCACCTGTGTTTTGTTTAAAACAACAACAACAACAACAAAAAGAAAAACATGATTCGTGCTGGAGAAATGCACACGGTATAATCGTCTAGGTACCTGGGAATCCCAAGGGGACATTCTGATGTGTGATAGGAAGTTTTTGGAGGATGGAAACAGTCATTTAGCTTGTTTTCCTACACAGTGTGTGTGGGTGGAGGAGGAGGCGGCTGGAAAGTGGCTGCAGAAACTTGCAGAAGGTTCCCTAGACTTACAAGGACGATTGTTAACAGGTGAAAACCACACACACACACACACACACACACACACACACACACACACACACACACACACACACACACACACACACACACACACACACACACACACACACACGTGATGCAGGTCCCAATGGGCCAGTCTCTACCCACCAACCACTGGTGGAAAGCCACGTGACCTGGGAAGCACAGGCTAGGGCACCATCTCATCTCAGTCAGCTCTGGAGACACTCCCCCCCTTTTTGAGGTACACTGTGGGGGCTGACTTCCTGGGGGTCACCGTCAGGGGCACCAAGGGCCTGGAGCGGCGACGTCCCTCCCCCAGATTCCACCCAGAATGCCGGAAGTTCGACTCCGCTGTTTTGTTTTTCTGTTTTTTTACAAACCTTGGTCAGGTCTATGCCTGACCCCATGAGCGGAAGCCCGTCTTCATCCATCCCGTCAGCGGTTGGGGGACCCAAGGGTCACCCACAATCCCCTCAAAGAAAACCTGCCAACTCGGTTTCTGAACAGCAGAGCTTCCTCAGGTCCCCACCCCCGAGGCCCTTCCGGCCGGAAGCAAACGTCTCCTCTGGCCAATCACAAGTGTGTTCCTGGAGAGCCCGCCCCCTCCTCATCACTCGGCATTCTGGGATTGGTAGTTCTTGATCCAGATTGTGAAGTAGGCTTCTGCGGGAACTGCTGAAGACGCTGGAGAAGTATGCTGACTTGGTTGTCCTTTTGTTTGTATGTTTGTTGCCAGTATTGGGGCTTGAACTCAGGGCCTGGGCGCTCTGCCTTAGCGTTTTCCATTCAAAGCTAATGGTCTATCACTTGAGCTCCACTTTTGGCTTTTTGTTGGTAAACTAGAGATAAGACTCTCAAGGATCCATCTCCCTTCGCTGACTTCAAACCTCAATCCTCAGGTCTCAGTCTCCTGAGTAGCTGGGATTCCCGATGTGAGCCACTGGTGTCCGGCTGCTTGTAAAACTTTAAGTAGGGAAAGGATAGCTAAGAAATTCAGGAGCTGCATCCACTTGACGTTTTCCTCCTTGGTATTCTGTGTTTAAATAGCTTTGTTATTCATTGAGCATCATTTAAAAAAAAAAAAAACTACTAAGTGTCAGATTCTCTGCTGGGCATTGTCAGAATACAAAAATTAATGAGAGACAGCGAACCTGTTGCACTGGAGAAGCTTATTCCCTGCAGAAGGAGTTCAGATGTTTCAAAAATTCAAATATCCTGTCAAGCTATGGTTGAGACCTAAAGAAAAGGAAGTGATTGTCACTTTGGAAAAGGTAGAAAATTCACCTGGAAAGAGAGATCTTTGCAGGGCTGAGAAGGTAGCTTAGCATTCATGAAGCCCTGCATTCCATTCCTCAGTACCATATAAACAGAAAAAGCCAGAAGCACCAAAAGTGCTGTGGCTCAAGTGGTAGAATGCTAGCCTTCAGCAAAAAAAAAAGCTTAGGGACAGTGCCCAGGCCCTGAGTTCAGTCCCTCCCCAGGACTAGCAGAGAGAGGGAGGGGAAGGTGAAGAGGGAAAGGAAGGGGAGGGGGAGAGAAAGAGAGGGAGGGAGGGGGGGAGGGGGAAACAAGAGGGAGAAGAGGAGGAAAAGAGAGAGGGAGAGCCAGGAGGTCTTTACATCTGGAGTGTGAAGGTTTGGTTCAGCTCTTGACTGTGTAGCTTATCATCTATATGACCCCCGACAAGTCATCTAACCAAAAGTGTGAATTCATCCTGGGCAAGATGTTCAATACTAAAAATATGAAGAGGTTGGTCTCTGCCTTCAACACATTTATAGTGTAGGAAAGACACAGAAATTTGGTGTACAATATCCAGACAGGAATACAAACAAGCTGTGTGTACAAGTAGGCACACACAAACACTTGTGTATATATTGGCAGGTGCTTCCAGATGCAATGTGCTATGGTGCTGCCAATAAAGTCATGTTTCTAAGTCCTCCAAGAAAACCAGAGAAGTTAAACTTTACTAGCTACTGTACATTAGAGAGAATTAAGCAGACAATTTGGGATGGACATTTGCTCAAGCAAAGGTCCAGAGACATAAAAGAGTATGGTATGTGGGGGGAAAGAAAACTGTTTGGGGATGTAAAAGCAAAGAAGCCCAGAAATGGAGAATAAGGCAGAAGAAATTGACAGAAAAAGCTTATTAAAGTCATTTTATGATGGGACTATAACTCATGTTCCTGTAAATGTGATCTAAGGACTAGTTGTATCAGTTATTTAGTAGTTCTCTTAAAAATGCTCATTTCAGATTAACCTCAGATAAACCAGATCTGTTGAGTGAACCTATAAATCTTCATTTTTAAGGACCCTACTACTCATTATTATTTTGAACCAAAAAGATTGAAAATTTATTTCCATGGTCTTGGGAGCCATTAAAAAATTCTGAGCAAGAGAGTAACATAAGCCAGAATATTTTTGAAAAGACTATCCAGTGTCTGGTGAGTAAAATTTGGGTAGGATACAAATGTTAAAGGTGGGATTTGTACATGGGGAAAATGAAGACTTTCAGTGTCAACTGGCTATATATTCTTGGATATTTTATTATTTATCTTTTAACAAGCATCCATTGATCATCTTTTATTTTCTCAGTATAGGCATCCTCATTTCCTCTCAAACTTGTATCTTTCTGCCTCTGCCTGGCCTCCATAATACTGGGATTATAAGAATGCACCACCACAGCAAGAATGGCAAATGAGCATTGGCTTCACTTTAAAGTCACCAGCTGCATCAGGCTGTAAGAGGAGAACCAGCCTGTCTTTTAAACTCTGGAGTCAGGCACTGACTTCTCTCTAGCTCTGGAAATCCTTGGGTGGCATCTTCATTATGAGGCTGCATCATTTCCACTGAAAGTCTGTTGTCTAGTGTGGCTACCTGGCTACCTTCATCACTTAACTATGGCTACATCTTCTGGATAACTTGCTCTAGCTACATCAGCATTTGTTGCTACATTGTACTTTTATGTTATAGAACAAATTCTTTCCTCAAAACATCTACTATCAGCTAACTTCTACAACCTTGAAACTTTTATTCTGCAGCCTCTTCATCATCTTTCACAGACAAGGAGAATGAGGACCTTGGTCTGGCTTTGGTTAAAGGGAATTCTGTAGTTTGTGACTTTCTAAGGCAATCACTCAGTACTAGTAATGAGGGTAGTTTGTTTTCATATCATTACTAGAACTTTTTGTTTCCTTTGAGAACTTTTCCTTCCCATTCACAGCTTGGCCAAGAGTTTGATACAAAAGGCTTAGATTTTGGCTTGTCTTGGTTTTTGACGTAGCTTCCTTACCTGTTCTAATCATTTCTAGCTCTTAATTTAAAAAGACAGAAATATGCAATTCCTTCTTTTATTGAGCACTGAGAGAGCCCATGGTAGGGCCAAGAATTGGTCTAATTTTAACATTGGTTTCAGGGAAAAGTAAGGCCCGTGGAGTTGGAGAGAGAAAGAGAAAGAGGGAGAGAATCACTTGATGGAGCAGTCATAACACAGATAATATTGGTGGATTGCTTACTATCTTATGTGGGCATGACTCTTGGCACCCCAGAAAATTGCTATGGTAATGTCAAAGACAGCTGGTATCAGATCTTCATAACACATTATAGCAATGAGAAAGTTTAGAGTCACCAAAGTGGGCCATAGGTATCCAAAGTGAAGTCTGTGCTGTGGGAAAGCAGTGTTAATAAACTTGTTCCATGCAGGGTTGCCACAAACCTTCAACATTTTGTTTTTTTTAAAGAGCAATATTTACAAAGTTCAATAACACAAAACACAAGAAAATGATGCCTGACTGAACTGTACTTCTGCCACAACTATAAATAACATAAACATTGTGATAGTTCTAGGCAACTGTACTTATGTTTTTGTTTTCTCCCCTTGATAAAGCCCATATGAACTTGATCTCTTCCATTAATCTTCAAAATCCTCACAGCAAGGATAATTCTTTAACTGTGACTCAATTTGTACCAATGACTCTGTTTTTTTTTTTCAATGAAATTTCAATAGTTTTATTGTCTTCTGCCCCCTCCCTTTTATTTTGCACATCCTGGATCTTGAACTCAGGGTCTAGGAGCTGTTCCTGAGCTTGAGACTTTTTGTGCTCAAGGCTAGTGCTCTACCACTTGAGCCACAGCACCACTTCCAGCTTTTCCTGAGTGGTTTTATTAGAGTTGAGAGTATCATGGACTTTTCTGCCCGGGCTGACTTCAAACCATGGTCTTCAAATCTCAGCCTCTATCTAGGAATACAGGTATGAACTACCAGCACCTGATTTCAGTAGTAATTTTAATATGCACTTTAAAGAGCTTTCTATGATCTATGCATGGTCCAGACATACTCTCTCTTCTACCTTCTATCCATCCATCCATCCATCCACAAGAAATACAAGAGGAAAAAAGAGGGTGATGGGAAGGAGAGAAAAGAAGGTAGGTGGATATTGTAGAACATGTTAAAAACAAATAATAAAATGGATTCAACAGAAACAGACACATAAATGAACCAGATATTTGAATTATTAAAGACTGCAAGATAACTTATCATTTCTCTTGACATGTCTTACAGTTTTAAATTTTATTTTGGACATTGTGAAGAAAGAACAGGAAGTTAAAAGAAGAGGTAAGCATTTGGGTTCAATTACAGGTTGAGGTGAACTAGTGAAAGACTGAGTTTGTATTCAGTGAACACAACTCCTATCCTCCAAAGACTGAACTCTTTGATCTTGTCCATGTCTGAGGTAGACCATGATGGATTGAATTTTCACATCATTTTGGTTTACCTTTGGATTTCACTTTAGGAAGGCCTGGGAACCCAATCACTATGAGAATATGCAAGACTTGATTAATTCTCTATGTAACAAAAACCATTTTCTCACTGTTGATTTTTTTAAGCAAAAGGGGGAAAATATAGGCCTAGGTGATTTATTTTTTATTATGATCTTTCTAGACATCAATTAACAGCTTCTACTGTTGTCCTGTACTCTTCTGCAATCTGCTACAATGCTACAGGCTTGCTTCTACCTACTAATATACAGACTATGCCCTTCTCCCTGGGTTCAGAAATGCCACAGCTCCCAATCCACTTGTATACTTCCAGAATGTTTTTGTAGAATTCACTTTATGAAGCACTTATGTTGCTTCTCACAGAAAAGTCTATTTTATCTGGTTGATTCATCTTATTACTAAAGATTTGAAAGGCTTTCTTATGTATTCCTATATTCTAACCAGTAGCAGAAGTCTTACCTTGCCATTCTTAGAACTTTCCTTGATCTGTCAAGAATAGGAGGAGGCATATGTATCCTGCCATGCTATGTTTAACCTCACTTATTAGCACATATACTTTGTTTGCTTGAATGTCTGTCCCCTAGCTATTGACTTAGGGAAGACAGTGACTTGATGACTATGAATGTCTGATCTATGGTAAACCCTCAGAGTTAGTTGAATGATATTGGGGCCTTGTGATCTTTATGCTCTTTTCATACCCTCTTTTATGTTCCATGAACCCTTGGGTTTAGACTGGATTCACAACTCTGGGTGAGCAAA